GACTCGGTTGACAAATAATTTAATTTTACATCGCGGGATCAGATTAGGTTTCCACTTTCATAAAGTCTCAAATGCCGACAAAATGTTTGATATGTAGCCATATGCTAATATATAGTAAAAAACTAGGTACTGCTGTGCGGGAAGTAATAATATTACAACGGACATCAGCATCTTCGCTAGTAATAATACCATACTGGAAAACCTAAAAAAACATGTCATCATATCCATATATTCGTCATGAAAATAGTTATCACCTTACCCGTTTAGCTAATTTTTTCCCGGTACCAAAACTTTGAAGTTTCTTTCTTCACTCGACATCTTCTGAAGGGACTTGTTCTAAGACTCTTTTCAGAACATTCTCAAAATTCTCCACCTCCTTTTCGAGAACGCCTGTCCATTCACCTTCCTCTACTCGTACAAATAATGCCGTAGAAATTCTGACAATATCGAGGGGTTCTCTGGTTAAAAGAAACTCTTCCATGTTTTAATATAATAAGAAGTAATATGTTAGTGAAAAGCTTGCTAGGTGAAGTAAAAAATAATGTACAGTAAATTTCATACTTTTTCGTCATACTGCCTTTTTAAATGTCTCGCATTCCTACATTCTCATTTCTTTGAGCTCGAGTTCTGTGTTTGGGAAGAGATAGGAGAAATATGCAAGGCACTTTACGCCAAAATTTTGTGTTAGAGAATAAGGGCATGTGGAATGTGCATTGAAGATCTCAACATTTACAAAGGACGTTGGGGATAATGCATATACGAACTTTTTTTCGCCCGACCGCTTAATACTAAGACCCGGCAACGTTATATAGATATATTCCGGTCGAACTCTAGTAGGAATAGCCTCTAGCACCGGAGAAAATAAACTCATGAATAAATGCTATTCAGATAGATAGGGAAAAAATTCAAAATATTTTTTGGGGAATCGATTTCTAATTATTTTGGCACAAGCAGTCACACAGAGTTACAGATGATCTGCGGTGTATCATCTATTACATCATATATACTTTAACGAGGATCGAAAACGTGCTAATTTATGTTGCACATGCCTACATGCATTGTGGCAGAGTGGGAGTAAAAAAAACAGTGTAATCCTAAATTGGGTAGTAAAAAGATATTATCGATTTTTTAAGTACTTTTCATAATAGTCAATAGTAGATAGCAATTCAAACAGAAACCTTTGCGAGAAATCCACACTCCCGTATGCTACCCTATCCAATCGTCATCTTAACTGATATTTCTTAGCTTCTATCCATCTACTAAAAGAACAATAAATATACTTCTCATATGGTAGGGTTATTTTGATTGGATTAATTATTCCAATATATTTTGAGTAACTTTCTCTAAATAAAGCATAAAACTCATTGCAATCTTTAGCATACTCTTCTTGCGTCTCAGGATTTTTTACCATCTGTCCTTTTCTAAGTATACCTAAGAATTTCTTTCTGTCAGGAGTACCATCATTCCTCACCGCCTCCCAAACTCGTTTTGCCAAAGATTCAGATTTCTTCTTGTAATTCCTGTAAGCTCGCTGGATAACTGTTGCATAGAAATTTTCAAAGCCATAATTATAATAGTATTTAGGAATCAAGAATCCCCAAGACCGCTTCATGATAAAATAGTTATATATTAGAGGATCTAATCTAAAATAAGCAGATCAAGTTTTTCTCTGCGTACGCAGGCATTTTATGCATAGTGCCTTTGGCCAATTATACTAGGCAACCATGTATGCAGATTATATAGTGCAAAAAATAAAGAATAAGTTATACATTCCGCCTTTGGCTAATCTTCAGTTAGTCTATAATTAAGATATTTTTTGGAATCAGTTGGTTAGTTAAACCGGTTAAACAATTATGATTTCTGTCCCATCCCTCAATCTTAATACAGTACCTTTTGGCTGATTAAGATGGTTTATAGGTGGTAGTAAATTATTTTGTTTAGCATACAGAGACGAGATAAATATTTTACTAGTGGTCCCTTGCTCTGAGCGCCTTTGGCTAGGACTTGATGATTGATAAGAAGATGGTAAAATCGTTTCTTGACTGGTAGATGAAATACAAGCTGGCTCGAAATTTGGAGTACTTGGTATAATCACTTTGCCTACGAAGTTATGGCGCCTTTGGCTAGAACATGAATTATTCCAATGATCCTTCATCAGATCTTTGGACTCAATTTCATAGGCCCATCTTCCCCAACCACTATAATATTCTTTTCTAGGCTCTACTTCAGTAATCTTCACCAATTTCCAGCATTTGAAGCAGATAGCCATTTGACTTTTATGGACACTAGGTCTACGATAGTCAAAGGAGGTTCCATATAACTCACCATTAACATAGTGTGTTGTGGATTTTACTTGCCCAAATGAAGCGAAAAGGTAGTACACATGATATAAACTATATCCTTGCTTAGAAAGTAGTTCTTGCAGAGAACCTCTTACACGATTAGCCCATTGCTGGGGAGTTTCATGAGGTCTAATAATAGATAAACAATCATATTGTTTTTCTATTTCAACCACCTTTTCATATCGATAGTTATCAGTTTGAGGACGATATTTAAAAACATGTTCCATATCGTATCCGGGACGAAGATTGATAGGTCTAGGAACAGTTTTATTATAAATATTATCTAATATGATCTTAACCATAGCACCGGGCATATTTATTAGTAAATTAGAGATTTATAGCAATTTCAGAGTTTTATAGTGTTTTTAGCAATTCTTAGCTGATTTAGCAATATTATACTCTAATAAATATGATAGCTAAGCCACCGTTATTATTTGATTAAATGATCAAACTTGATCAAATTGTGCGACGGAAAGTTATAGAATAATTAATAATCAATATAATTACTGTAGCCTTTGAAATTGCGTAATATTTGTGATCACTCTTTTCTCCAAGTATATAAAACTGTACACATAAACATGACAACTTTATACGGGAACGACGATTTTACTATTCCGGGAAATATGTCAACTAGTCAAAGTACCCAATCAACCCAAAATACTGCAACCACCTCTTTTACATCCACTTCCGATGTCTTTGAGCCCGGCGAACTGAAAAGATATCGCAATTACTGGTGGAAAACTGGTAAAATGCACTCGAAGGCCAGGTGGGAAGAGGCAACGTAAGTCATTTTGTTATTTACTTCAACAACTTGACTATTTTTGCAAGCTAATTGTTGTTTTATTGTTCAAGTTTACCGTATGAGTTAGCTACTGAGGTACCTTTTGATACTTATGTCGAACGTACGGATAAATATAATATTCACGGCTGGTGGGAGTGGGAAAATGGGACCGTCCGTATCATTGAATTACCCACAATATTTCACGAGCGTTGTGTTGGTTCTATAGTCCGGGATATTACTTTTGCAACTGTTGGTGTGAGGAGCACTAACCTCGACATTCTTTATGATGGATCTACAAGTGAGTGTTGTTAGTTTCCTTTGATATTATTAGCGCTAGCTAAATCTATCACTAATTATCCTTGGCAAAAGCAAGGAAAACTCCTAGAACGGGCAAAGAAGCGGATGCATCATGGTTACCAGTATCAAAACCTCGATTGAATGGGGGCGGATGTGACCCAAGCGGTGTATGAAGAGTTATTGCTTTTATTCGTTTCCTGGTTTTATTCTTTAAGATTTTACAGTATTAATATGACATTATATTTTTAGACTCGGCCATGGCCGAATCTAGTAGTAGAGATTGCGTACGCACAATCTGAAACGAATGTCAAAGATAAAGTCGAACAATACTGGCTTCTAGGTGGTCGAGCCCATGATGCTATTGCAATTAAAATAGAACAACCTATCGCACCAGCTACAATACCTTCAGTGATGACGGTAAGAAATGACAAGAATTCAATTTCTGCTCAATTTCTTTAGTAATGTCCGATTGTTTTTATATTCTTAATAGGCTTGGCACTATTGCATTAATCATCCGCGAACAGCTATCGGTGCATTTAATCCCACGATGGTATGTTATATTTTTATATGCTTTTAGTAAAAGTTAAATCCGTAAAAAATGAATTTAAGGTATCCTTTTATTTAGTATGAATTTGGAACTATTAGTCGTGGAGGAAATCCGATCAACCTGCAACCTGGGCAATGCGTTATCAACATTCAACTAGCATGCCTTTACCATGGGGTACCAGCTAATGTTATGAATCCACCTCCACCACCACCTCCTCAACTTCCTCCTCCTAACCCCATTACTACTGTACCTAATCCCATTTCCATTGATCTATATCATGCTCAGTTTGCTATATTAAATAATAATTAGATTCCTAGTACTCTGTACCAACAATGAAGAAATTTAATAAGCGAATTCCAAAATTCACTCAAATGCGATAAAGTTTTTCATAAAGATTGTATCTTTTGATTATATTGTAAAAATAATTATCTCCTAATAGCTTCAATTAATATAAATCACATGAATAAAAAGTTTTTGCTTACATTACTTAGTGAAGCTTACGTTGTTATATAAAAGAATGTTATACTTGTATAATGGGGTTGCGTCCCTGTATTTATTTTTTATCTGTATTAATAAAAAATTTATATTATGATCATATATGCGTACACGTTTAAAAATTCAAAGTAAAGATCTTTATTATATTTTTGTAAAGTAATATGTGAGAAATGGCCAGCTAAGTAAAAATGAAACTAATAAATGATATGGGAGTAGATCTCGTTTAAAGGGAGGAATAAAGCACGAAATGAAAAAATATCATGCTTTCCGCCGGCCCCTGGACCGTAAAAGGCGGTTCCTTCTCACTACCCCATATTATTTTCGTTATTATTATTTGCGCTACTCGCATTATTACTATTATTTACACTACTAGCAACTTCTTTACTTTCTACCCATCTCATAATTGACAACACTGTGCTAAATTTTGGATCTCCTTTACCATAATAAAAATTTTCTATAGTACTCTTTCCAATCTTTTCCCCAGCAAGATGACGAATTTCACGTCTCACAGTTTCAAACGCATAGTCATTAGTCTCTCCCACTTCCTTTTTCGAGTCGAAAACTCTCTTAAAACGGTTCCTATTTTCATCTAAAGATGAATTGGATGAACTGGATGATGGAGTAGAATTACGTGACCGATTCAAAGCTTCAGATTCATTGGAAATTCTCTTAAAACGGTTCCTATTTTCTTCAAGAGATGAATTGGATGAACCGGATGAAGAGCTAGTAGAATTACCGCTTTCACGTGATCGATTCGAAGCTTCAGATTCATTGG